GATCACTGGTGTATTTTCTTCTTAGGAGAGAAAATTATTTATCCTCTTCATACGCCTGGTGGGACTGTGCTCTGGAAGGTATCACAAAGAGCTTTCTCACACATATCACTTTTTGTAGAAGTGAATACAGGTTTGTATATGTTAGTATCAATAAAGAAATTACACAGTTAAAAAAAAACTGCATATAAATCATAGATTGTTAATTTTTTTATAATCTTATAGAGTAATATTAAATAATGAATTTTTTTTATTTTTTAATGACACAACCCTAAGTATGAGACATAGGTGGTGTTATGCAAGACCCTCAAAATTCCTCATTTTATATGTGAAGGCATGTAGCATACTTAGCACAGATAATGGAAGAGTGGGTGCTAGAAATAAGATGTCTTGACTACCTGGTGGTGATTCTGTCTATTCAATTGTTCTGGCAAAAATCATATTGATGGACAAAATATTGTAATTGTAAATACATATTCTCTAATAAGAATAAAGGCTTATCTTATCCTTGTTAATTTTAGATTAATCTCTCAATAACAACTCATAATAAAATTTAAATTATGAAAGATAGATTTCATATTTAATTCAAAAATAAGTTATTCTTTTAGCAAAGATTAATGTGCAAATCAATCTTTTAAACACAGTTTTAATTTTTTTTTATTTTTATAATACAGTTTTGGAGCTGAAAAGGAATTTAGAGTTCTACTTATTGTCTTTATTTTGTGAACAAAAAACTGAGGTTCTGAAAAGTGAAATGGTTGGCTAAAGACAAATATGTTAATGAGGAAAGAGAATAAATATTCTGAAATCTTGAACATTCTCAATATAGTGTAGTAGTCAACTTATATTTTTTTATTTTCCTTCTGAAAATGTACTTTCCATTTCATTTTGTTACTTTGTGATATGTATCTGGCTTCAGTTTTAACTTTTTTATATGAGTGCAACATAAATATATATATTACATTTACATATGTGTGCAAATATATGTAATAACATATGCATGCATAATTTCAAAGATTGTCTCAACAAACTGGATAAATTATTATTTGGCTCATCAGAGTTATTGTATATTTATAACTACTGGAATATTTTTTTGTTTTCACTGTAATCTGGGCATGTTTATTTAAAGTTCGGTATGTCTTCTTAAAAATTAATGGATTATAAATACTTCGTACCTACTTAATCTACTTTTCAAACATCACAATCACTGAAAGTCTCTATATTTATTAAAAGTAACTATATATTATCAAATCTGCATTTTAAAATCACCATATCTGGTATAAGTTTAGCCAATTTTAAATCATTTTATGTGTAGACAGCAGTTAAAGAGAAAAATCTGAGCCAAAACTGATAGTGGCTGAGTTCAGATAGGTCTCTTAAAAACCAAAATTAGTTCATAGATTTACTAACTCACAAAATAAATTTCAATTATTTTTATTTCTTTTAAATAATTTAAAATTTATGATTTTTTTGTAATTTTATGTCCTTTTAAAATTAAGAAATGTCTATTTCTGAACAACATGTGTTCTCAAACAGATTGCCAAGAGAAATCACAAATCGTGGTATTGTTGATTTAACTCGGCAATCAATTAAATCGAAACAGTTTAAGGTACAAGATATCATAGCTCCTACACATGCTACGTGGGCTCTACCCTTATTTGCAATTGCTGATCTACTATTGAGTTAAAGACTCTTACTTTGTATCTTTTATCCCCTCTTAGACTTTGTTTTGATTTTTTAAAATTCATTAGGGTGATATTGGTTAACAAGTTACACACCAACTACTCCCTTTCTCTGTACCCTTGTGTGTGCAAACGAATTAAAGTAAAATAAAATAAGTTAATCCTAGGCTTTCATTTTTAAAAAAAATTTAAACATGCGCCTAAGTACTGACAAGAAATAAAAATATTCATTTCAAAAACTTGTTTTACCAAGATCAGACATCCAAATGACAAATTCACTTAATCTGTCAAGCACGGCTTTCAAAAGAAATAAGTATACTAAGATGGCTATACTAGTTTGATAGATTGTAAACCTCTACTTGTCCAGGTCTCTTAAAACTTAATGAGAATCATCTGATATCCACAACTCACCCCTCCACATGTTATATAATGAGAGTAAAACCACTATGCAGAGAAGACATTACAGTCTAGTCAACCAATGTCAATGTGATAAAAAGTTGAGGATCTAAACTAAAAAGCAGATATTAACTATGAGTGTAATTTGTATAAAATCAGCCCCAAGTAGTCTAATCTCACCACAATAAAACATTCAAGGAAATGTCATGCAGGAGCAAAAAGAATTGGAATTTATTGAACTCTATGGAAGTATTTTAGGAAATCATCTCAGGGTAAATATTTGCATAATGTCCTGCCTATGTATTCTAAAAAAAATTGTTCTTGACCTCTCTCACATCACTGTAAATGACTGCCACACAGCCTACAGCAGCTCCCCAAGAAAATCTTTTTTCCTTCTCTAAAGCTTTAAAAATATTTTTGCCCCCTAGCAGGTTTGGCTCAGTGGATAGAGCATCGGCCTGAGGACCAAAGGGTCCCAGGTTTGGTTCCCATCAATGGCACATGCGGGCTCAATCCCCAGGAGAGGGTGTGCAGGAGGCAGCTGATCAGTGATTCTCTTTCATCATTGATGTTTCCTTCTCGCTCTCCCTCTTCCTTCCTTTCTGAAATCAATCAATCAATAAAAATATTTTCGCAAAACTTAATACAGGAAGCTTTCTACTCTCCACCCACCAAAAAAGTAAATTAGCCAGAGAGCTATTTGCTTAAATAATAAATACTTTCCGAAACCAGTTTGGCTCAGTGGATAGAGCGTCGGCTTGCGGACTGAAAGGTCCCAGGTTCGATTCCGGTCAAGGGCATGTACCTGCGTTGCAGGCACATCCCCAGTAGGAGGTGTGCAGGAAGCAGCTGATCGATGTTTCTCTCTCATTGATGTTTCTAACTCTCTATCTCCCTTCCTCTCTGTGACAAATCAATAAAATGTATTTAAAAATAATAATAATAATAATAAATACTTGAAAATAAGACTCCACAAATGTCACAAATTATCTTGATTTATGAAAAAAGAAAATGCAAAAAGGAGTGACACATAATAGCTATCCTTGGTCTGCAGAGCAATTAGTTGTTTAGAGCAAAGAATAAATTTGTGTGTAACATGGTAAATTAACATATTTTCAAAAAACCAATGACAGGGAATTTATTGGAGGTCCATCCAGGTTTAAATTCTAGTTCTGCTCTTTAGTAGCTGTGTAACCTAATGAAAGCTGGTTATCGTCTCTACGTCTTTTTTTCTAAATA